TTATTTTACCGGATAGAAATTTATGTAGCCCAAAAACTAGCTTACAACTTTGAGAGATAAACAATAAATTTCTTATTTGTCCGTAATTTAAAAATTTATTGGTTTGCGTAGCAAAGAACTGATAATTTATTTTTCCAAAGCTACTTATTTTTTACTCTACCTGTATTTGATCGTATAACAATGTTCAATTGTAATTTAAGTTTAAATACCGATCAAACTGTTCGAAATAAAATAAACACATTAGAACACTTTAGAACCGGAAGAAAGAATCGAGAAAATTTTAGTCTGTTGTCAAATCCCTCGTGTTTAAGGGGAGATTTGGAATTTTCAAATTATTGCCAGGGACATCTAGAGATGAAGGCAAGATAAATTTGCTCTGACGTGTTATATAAAGCTACGTTTACAGGAGAGACAGATCAACAGATTTCTCTATTTCCCTCCATATTTCTCTATTTAGATATATTCCTCTACTTTTATTCGGATATAAAGGATTGTTGATTAAAAAAGCAGTTAAAAATAAAAAATTAGTAACTACGAGCAACGTTTGTGGAATGAATGTTACGGATTTTCATTAAATTAGTGATATTTCCTGGATTATAACGAGTAAAGAAATAAAAATGCGCGTTTGACGCACCTGCGTACTCGACTTTGACATTTTATGCACAAAGATTTATGATTGTCGTTTTTTGTGTGGGATCGATTGCTGTATAAAGAAACAGTGAAGTTATTTCTTTTAATCTCTTAAAAAAATATACAACACAATATATTGTCTGTAGTAAAAAAAGGAATATTTAATAAACATTATAATAAGCATTTATACCTTAAATGTTACATTCAATTTTTGTAATAAGTTACGTTTATTCAACCATTATATTCTCACTGAAATATTACCATTAGTAAAACATTTATATAAAAATCTACCTCCTTTGTGTTTTCTCCTTTTGTGTTTTTTATAGTGTTTAACAATTTTAAATACTATAAATACCTACTATACTTTAAATATACTATTAAATTATTCTTAGATGTTCTATTATATTAAGTTACTAGTCCATATCTATATATTAAATATATTATTAAATTATATATATTTAAATATACTATATATTAAATACTATAGGTAAGTATTTAACAGTTTTAAAACTACTAACAATGAAAATATTATTGGCTTTCTCTTTCTCTCTCGTGTGAACGCAAACGATGATAAAAAAACTTAAGGGGAATAAAATCTCTTACCCGCGATCAGACAAAAATTCAAAATTCGAAAAAAATTAAAAAACGGATCTTATATAAAGCAGAGAGGGTCCAACAGTTTATGACACCCGATTTTATCTTAGCGCGGCTTTTTTACCGTATCAGTACGCCATCGTATGCAATAAAAGGATTCCTACGACCCGACGTGACGGTTCTGGATGATAAATGTGCTAAACAGCGCGTCAATATAAAAGAGATAATGGTAAATGCCGCGAATATACGATTCGATCGTAAATCTTCACGCGCCCTCGCGCGCCAGCACAATCGCACACCTCTAGATTTTGTCCCCTCGTTCGTTTTTTCATTTTCGCGCATCAGATTTTATTCGCATTTCTATTCAAAAAATTTGAAATCGTTGCGTTAACGACTCACTATAGTTATTTGTGTAACAAGTGCGAGAAGTTGAGAATTGGACACGGGTGCGGAGTGGACGCACGAGCCGAAGGCGGGTACCTTCTATTTACCGAATTATTTAAATGCAACAGGTTTTAGATAAAACCATCTCTTATTTTGGATAATCAGATATTGCGTAGATGATTTAATTGTTTGATATTGGAAGCATATCTATTGCAAATTAAATGTAAATTGTTTTCTGATTAAAAATTATCTTTGAAATAACTTTTCTAATTTGCCTTTGATTTCAAGTTACCGTAATTGATTTATTAACTCTGTCGTTTTTTTTGCGTTTGCAATGAAAAAATTTTTATCTTTTCTCTTGTGTTTTTTTTAGTATTATTGCACGTTGGTATAGACTTTTAAATCAATATGTCGTTGGTATATAGAAGTTTTAATTAGTCAGAACATTTTTTTCTCGTGAAATGATATTCTCAATTAACTTATTTATTCATAGTTTATATATATATAATTATATATATTCTGTATTTATGTACATCATATAATTTTAATATATGTACAAGTTATAATTACTGCATAATAAATTTTTTACTTTTCCCTACTTTATAACAAATTAATAATGCAACATTTTTTGCATTTTTATTACATAATATTGATAATGATAAATTGTGGGCAGATGTTGTTATAGTTATAGATCAAATATAAAGTTATAGTTAAATGTTATATTAAATATAAAGCTATAGTTAACCATAGTTAAAATAATCTATTTTTTTGCTCGGGTACCTTTTACCGTGTCGGCGATTGATGACTTTTGAATAATATTGATTTATTCAAGTTTGAGAAATAATATTCGAATAAAAACAATTCTACGGTTCCTATATTATTGACAAGGTGTTACGTCACGATAAAAATAGCGTGAATGATCCATTTATTTAAGAGTTGAGAAATCTCCGTTACGCAAATCATCGTAACAATCTCCTCCTCTATCTGTGAAAACGCATCATGTTCGATCATGGTTCCGTGGGAATTACGTTTCTGGCAAGGTTCATAAATCATTCGAGTTTCGACAGGGAAATAACGAAAAAGCGCTAAGCCGATTTGTTAGAAGGACGAAAAATGACGCGATTTTTCTCGAAAGCCCTTTTCACACGAGTGCGTCGAAATGGAAGGGTTGCAACAAGTGAGATTCGAATCTGACAGGTACATCCAACCCTGAATTATTTGTTGCTTGTAAATATGCAGCGTTGCACGACGCAGATTGCAAAATATTTATAATTTTTTCACTAAAACTGCTTAATTCGGCTTTCGCATAAATGCAAAATCTTATTTTTCTCATTATTAAAAGCTTTTATTTTATGGGTTTTTTTGCATGTACTACAATTAGTTTAATTAGTTTCTTTTCCCATACGCGTACGCAAGCACTATAAAGACACGTAATGAAATAATAAAGAACTTATCGACTATATAAAATATAAAAAGATTGTAGTAGTAAAATCCTCAATATTGACTGCAAAACCAATTATAATGCATCACCGTAATAGTTTCCGCTAAATTAATTTCTACTAAATTACGATCGCATTTCAATTATCTATCGCTACCTCGCTGTCTATTAATATTTGTACAATTTCGTACACGATTAATCGAAACGCAATCAGATAGCTCGCTAGAGTAGAGTTACGCAAAATGCGTCATTCGTGCGCGGCTGACATTTTGCAAATGTTGTCAGCTCACATTAGACTAACGCGAGGATATTATCGCGTTTGTGCCTCGTGTTTATTCATTACGGCGCCGTGTATTAACGCAGTTTAGCAAAGTTAAGCCGTGATTAATGGCCGACAGTCAAGGCACGTAATTAGAATGCAAAACCCATCGATGTTTTGCGCGTGATGGAGCCTAATCGGGTCCAACGCGATTCGCGCAGCCGCGTTTTCTTGCAGGACTTCTTTTCCCGCAGGATGGCGAATAAAAGCGAGGATGTGTATTTTTTTCACGACGGTATGAATAGCGATGTGGCGCTTGCGAACAATCCAGTGAATATAATGTCCCAAATCGGGACATATGACATCTTAAAGATGTCATTAAGATGTCTTACAGACGTCATATGTCCCGATTTGGGACGTGCGTATTGTGTGGAAACGCGCGATAGCCTACCGGAATATCATCGCCTCTGCGTGGGATGCCATATGTTAAAAATCGCCCCGACATTTTTCGCCGATCGACGGCTTCCAATTTCAGAACCTGACCTACTTTCGACCGACCCGAATGGGGCAATAAGGGTTTTATGACCATTCATATGTGGATGTAGTAACTCCTGCGGTGTGTTAATCATAAAATATTCTATTCTTGTTCAAGGTTACGCTTGGTATTATCTGAGTGGGAAAACGAATCTTGAACCCTAGCAAATCTAGGACGGCTCGTTGTCACTGCATGCAATATATTTGCGACAAGATCTCTCTCGGTGCTTCTACATTTTTATTTGTCAATTTTGTAGTCTCTCTCTTTCTCTTTCCTGATTTAATTCGCATTCTCTGCTTCTCGTAGAATCTGTCGTTTATATTTTTATATTTATATTTTTACAACATGTTTTTAATTTTATAACATATGTGATAACTTTATTCGATTAATTCAATTAATAATAACGATAATCTCTCAAAGCATCGGTTTGAAAAGTTTTCCGACATTATTATCTTCATAATCGCGAGGTAATTATAGATTAGACTTTATTCCAGTAATTTCATACGATAGAGAATTTTAATTTCCTTAAAAAAAAGTCACCTTGTACAATCGGCCCGATCGATGAACTCGTCTATCGAAAAGTTATCCGTCATTTGTCACTCATTCTCCCGCATGACATTTCGCGTCTCGCGGAGACTACGCCTTCATTCTAATTCTCCCGCTCTAATTTCGACAGTCTCATTAGAACAATTCCTTCTCGTCGGCAGAATCCCGACGTCCTTCTCCGTACGTCGACGTCGCAGCCTCTTCTCGTGCAACGGTGGCATAACAGGTTGTGTGTCACCAAGAGAGCGCGAACGCCTAATTCTCATTAATCAGCGAGGAACGCGGCGCGAGACGCACGTCAGTTGTGACATTCGGAGGCTTCGCGATGCCTCGCCCTCCAGCTTGTCTCGTGAACTATCTCTGTAGAACTAATCCCGCAGCACGTAGTCTCGTGTCTTTTCTATTATTCTGGAAAACCTATTAAAAATCTAGGGAAAAAACGGTCGCGGTCGCCGGTAGAACGACACGTGAAACGCGAGTGTAACGGCGAATCAAAGAGTGAGAGAGAAAGAGTGGGTGTGCGCGGAAATAGAGATCGGAAGGGACGACGGGTGCGACGGAGGGACGACGACGCGCTGGCTGGTGGTGAATGAACGAGAATTGGATTCACTAACCTGCCTGGCCAGTCCGCCCAGTCCGGAAACCGTGGAGCAACTGAGAGAGATGGTAGCGTCGAGGCGACTGTCCGCGACTCCACTGCCTTGGCCGTACGAAACCCACCCCCGCGGCCGCCTTCTCTCTCTCCGCCACCCCCGTCGTCGATCCTGCCACCACGCCGCCGGGGTCCCTGTTCCTTGCGTTAAACGAGGATGCTCTTGGAACCTCGCTCTCTCTCACGCCCCGTTCATGCTTTCATTCGCCTCCTTTCCTCTCTCTCTCTCTCTCTCTCTCTCTCTCTCTCTCTCGCTCCTCCTCCACTTCCTCCTTCTTCTCCTTTTCCTTCTCCTTTTCCCCTCTCACACCTTTCCCTACGTCACCCCCCGACCATTTCGTTTCTATCTCACTCGCCCGTTCTCTGTCACGCTTTCTTCCGTTTCTTTTTTGGAAGATTCTGGGACTCCACCTTCGCGCAGGATTCCTCTCGGTCTGTCACTTCCCTCTCCCTTGCGCCTCCCCGCTGTTGAATTTTCCCCTAAAAACCATCCTATGGACGAACGTACGTCCGGGAAACTGCACCCCTCTCTCGTCAGTGACGTAGTTGTCGGTTGGGGAGCCCGCGAATTTTGCGGGCGGCGAAACGTCGAGTAATTGATGCGTTAAATCCGCTCGTTATTTCTGGGAAATAACGTGGGATTAGGATATACGCCACGTGTGGCTTTAGATAATAAGGCAATTAGAACCGCATGTGCATGTGCAGCATGCGTTAAATCACCTGAATTCTCAAAGCCGGACCGATCGATATATCCTCCTGGTTATGAATTTTTTGAAAAAAGCGAGTGTAAAGGAAAAGTTTAATTTCTTAATTGCACGCAAGTAGGTCACGAGGAAGTATCTAAAAGTGAACGAAAATGATGTTAATGAGATATTTTTTTTTCGATATTATATAATAATGAGGCAACGTAGCTCGTCGAGAAGTAGACGAGTGAAAAGGGAGAAGAGAGATCTAACTATTCCGGAATACCTGAAAGCCTCTTTTGTACCGTCGTCTTGATAGAATCCTCACCTCGCTGCAAAATTGGAAGACCCTTTTCCTCCGTCCACCGTCTTACGTTTTTAGAAAACGCGCGCGACGCGAGAGATGATTTTCCGTGAAATACATTTTATCCGATGCTTCGTCGGAAAATCAGTCGGATCCGCGAGAGCAAAATATTGCAGCGCACGTAAACGCTCCGGAAATAAACGCGACGCCCATTACGCCAGTTCCTCGAGGTCTGGGTAAGCACTGCATCATATGAAATGTCAAAGGCTAGCCTTCGCGCGCGGCTATATAGAGAGAACTTAATATTTTTTCGCCCACGTATCCTGTGGGTCGGTCAGAGGGAGAAATTGTGAAAGGAACTCTGGCCGCGCGCTGAGGCCAATGGGTTCATAGAGCCGCTACGCGAGAGGTAATAGCTTCTTATTGACCTAAGTAAATTGCGCCGTCGAAAACATCGTCAAAAAAACCAGTCCGCACGAGAATTATCCGCCCCGTTATCCGCTTTTCCGTTTTAGAAGACCGAGTTTCTCCGACGTTCCATTTGTCCGCGTGTTGAGCGTTGATTAATGTTGTGGCAATGTGGATTAAATATATTTATCGGCAATATTTTACAATACTAATTAACGTACGATATAGATAAAGTTATATAAAAGTTTTCTAGTAGCACAATATCTTGGCAACATGTTGGCTGAATATTGGTTGTATTGGGATTGTCTTGGCCAATATTTCCCAATGTACAGCTAATATTGGTTGACAAAATGCAAGTGCACTGCCAATATTAGCTCAAAAAGAGAGAAAGTTTACTTTACAATATAGTACCAACATGAAAGATTAATCGCTACCCAACATAAAATTGGATATATATTGTTAGCCAATATTGCTGCAATAAAGTTGTTCTACTAGGATTATTTTTGAAAAATTTAATCGCGTAGATTTGGAAATAATTTTACTTATTTACTCGACATTGTTAAACCGAGGATTGTTCACGCAAAGGTGGCAATAAAGTTAAAGCACACGCGAAAAACAACGAAAGATATATTCACTTATCAAGAAATCTTTTCGGCACAATCTACGAGATAATTTAAGTTCTATTGAAACACGGAGTTACATCAGAAACTGCACTTATGTTCGTTTCATCCTCGCGGCTCCTTAATTATATTAATGAACTTGCCGGCGGCTAAGTGCCGAAGGAGAGCGAGTTTCCGAGCTTGCAAACTTTGGAACGAAAAACGCCAATGAGGCGAACAGACAGCGGCGGAAGCTCGTGGCGGCAAAGTGTATACGGCGAACTTTTCCCATTTTAGCCGTCCCTTCGAAGAGGGATTTCCACCCTAATCTTTACCGTGACTGAAAGGACGGGTGAAAAGTAATAAAAGAGGCGATTGAATCGACGGCTGTTTAATCTTACGACCACGCAAACCGAGCATGTTAGATTTATTTGCCTTCGGAAAGGAAGATAGCCATTCTTCGCGCGCGGAGAATGCAAAATATTCGATTCGCGGGTTATTCGCGCGTTAAATCGAGTACGGGGAATAACGGGGGAGTCGAGGACTTGTTATTTATTGCGTAATTGCCATATCGGGAGGTTAGCTCTTCGCGAAAGCTGCGAAATTCATTCACGGTTGTGGTTTCGGGATTAAAGGGTAAAACGCCACGAAGAAGATACTCGGGGGCGAGAAGCCGCGGCGAGCGAGCTATAACGATTTTGACTCCCGGATACTTGTTGCGCAGGCGAGCTGAAACTTAGCTTCTTTAAGCTATATTGACTGCAACTAGGCTATGTCCTACCCTCGAAAAAAGTCTGGGTAGCCAGGAATGCAGCTTTGCAGCAACGCACGATTAGTCTTTCGACAAACAAAGGTTTTTATCGATTAATTAACTATTATTGAATATTATTATTTACTTCAAATATTTGTGATATTTTATTTATTTAACATTATTTATTTATTTAACATTAAAAAGGCGAGCATATTATAATTCATTTAAGCAATAAATATCAAGACATACTTTTTTAATGAATAAAAAAATAGACACATTAGTTGTAATAACTGATAACAATAAACATAAATAATTAATTTTAACTGCATCGAATAACAAAGAGGTAAATCGTAATTGGAAAAAAGTTTGTCAAATTTTTCAAAAATCCTTTTTCTGGTGCCAACTCCAATATTTCAAGAGCACGATTATGATCTTCGGGGTATATAACGCCTACGCGTTTAATATAGCACAACACGAATTGTTACGACGTTAGTTATTACGAGAAATGAAACGAGATATGTGTGACAATGCCGGATCTATTAATATTGAATTGGAAGTGTACGCTGTCAGCAAGAAAATTAGAGCAATGTGAATCGCGTGATTATATCACAGCAATTATTTCACACACAGACGTTTATCGTGCCGAGAACAGTTTTAAAAAATATTTAAGATATTATCTATCGGAGTAATAACGATCTAACATTAGTGTACGATAAGAATCCGTAAATGAAATTAATATGAAACAGCGATTGGTGCTGAAGTTATTTCATATGGGGGAGAAATAATAAAGCGGAATAATAAAGCGGAGAAAAATTATTTAGAATGAATTATGGTATTTTGATGTATTAAAACAAGTGTGCAAAGCGTAATATTAACAGATGTCATATAAGTGCAAACAAGCGTGCAGTTGTTAGTTAAAACTATTCTTTTATTTATACAAAAGGACTTTAAAGTAAATACTTTTACTGTTAAAAATGGCTTTTATATAAGATTATCGTTGCTTCTGTAAGGAGTACTTCGTCTATAGGCCAGTCAAATTAGACATTTGAGGTCGAAAGTGATGCAAACTTTTTTATTCCTTTTTAGGCGTGTAGGGGGTGTTTAGAAAAGCTTATTTCTGAGTTGTCGTGTTATTTGACTCAGAGCTTTTTGAGGGGGGGGGGAGGGGAAACCAAAATTTTCGCGGTTTTTTGCATTTATCTCGTTTCGATTAACAGATAGCACTTTTTCGCTCCTGAGAAAGTTGTAGGGCTTGAAAAAACGAAGAAAATGAG